TTTTTTTTTTTTTTTTTTTTTTCTTTTCTTTTTTTTTTTTTTTGAGACGGAGTCTTGCTCTGTAGCCCAGGCTGGACTGCAGTGGCCGGATCTCAGCTCACTGCAAGCTTCGCCTCCCGGGTTTATGCCATTCTCCTGCCTCAGCCTCCGGAGTAGCTGGGACTACAGGCGCCTGCCACCTCGCCCGGCTAGTTTTTTGTATTTTTAGTAGAGACGGGGTTTCACCGTGTTAGCCAGGATGGTCTCGATCTCCTGACCTCGTGATCCGCCCGCCTCGGCCTCCCAAAGTGCTGGGATTACAGGCTTGAGCCACCGCGCCCGGCCAAAAAAGTGGATTTCTACCTGCTATAACTGCACATGAGGACTTCTGGGCTCCTGTTCTTGGAAGGCCTTGTGGTGCCAGTACCCTGGCATTTCGGAAGATGGGGCTTGGCCATTGGGCTCCAGTCACCGCCCCTCCTTCCTCAGTCAATAGGCTGATTTGCATGCTCTGTTGTGGTCCAGTGGCCTTCCCAGCCCTGTGCCTCAAAGCACCTGGAGCATATAGCCTTGCAGAACTTCTCCTTGCCTGCCTCCCTGCCTCTGACCATGGCCTGCTGGTGCCTCAGCTTCCTTCTGATGGGGACCTTTCTGTCAGGTGAATCCTCCCTGGGCCTCACTCACCTGGGTGTGGGGTGGGGAACAGTACTGGCCCCAGAAGGCCCCTGCAAGGAGGCAGATCGATGGGGACAGTAGAGCAGGTCCTGGGAGGGGAATTTTTTTTTTTTTTTTTTTTTTTTTTGAGACAAGAGTTTTACTGTTGTTGCCCAGGCTGGAGTGCAATGGCGCAATCTCGGCTCAATGCACCTCCACCTCCTGGGTTCAAGTGATTCTCCTGCCTCAGCCTCCTGAGTAGCTGGGATTACAGGCATGCGCCAACACACCCGGCTAATTTTGTATTATTAGTAGAGATAGGGTTTCTCCATGTTGGTCAGGCTGGTCTCAAACTCCTGACCTCAGGTGATCTGCCCACCTCAGCCTCCAAAAGTGCTAGGATTACGGGCTTGAGCCACCGCACCTGGCTGGGAGGGGTATTGAGGTAGAGGGGTGACCTGGCTTCAGGCAGCTCTGCCCTTGACCTGGGGCAAATCACTTCCCTGTGTGGGTCTTGATTTTCCCATTTGTGAACGACCAGGTCACTAGAGCCCTGGACTCTGACTTTGGGTCTCCTTAGTTTTTCACAGGGGAAGCTATTGTGGGCTGGTCCCTACCCCACAGGGCCTGAGGCCATCTAACCTCCCTGAGAGGTTCCCTGCAGCCAGTTGCCCGAGGCTGAGTAGATGTGTGGGACAGCCCAGGAGGTTCCTGGGGTTGGTTAGTCTGTATTCAGGGTTTGGAAGAGCTGAAGTGAAGTGGGCGGGGAAGTGGGGGAGGAGGGGTGCAGTTCTGCAGAGAAACGTGGATGGGTAGCAGAGGGACCTAGAGGCTGCTAGTCCAACCTTCTGAGCTCTGGGCCTTTAACTGAACACGGATCCTTTAGGGTATGGCACTAATGGGGACTTGGGGGCTAACTCCAAATCCCTCACTCACAAAGGAAGATGGAGGTCCAGAGAGGGCACCCTAAGTCACACAGAACCAGGCCTCCTGCACCCCATTCATTGCTAATCCCATAGCACTGGGCTATGAGCCCTTTGGAACTGGGAGTCTCCATGGAGTCCAACCAAGCTTTCACAGGGCAGGGGTGGGAGAGAAGGAGTTCAGGCTGGGCCTGAGTATGTTTGTGTCTCTCAGTCTCCCAGACAGTCCTGGCCCAGCCGGATGCACTGCTGGTCTTCCCAGGCCAAGTGGCTCAACTCTCCTGCACGCTCAGCCCCCAGCACGTCACCATCAGGGACTATGGTGTGTCCTGGTACCAGCAGCGGGCAGGCAGTGCCCCTCGATATCTCCTCTACTACCGTTCAGAGGAGGATCACCACCGGCCTGCTGACATCCCTGATCGATTCTCTGCAGCCAAGGATGAGGCCCACAATGCCTGTGTCCTCACCATCAGTCCCGTGCAGCCTGAAGATGACGCGGATTACTACTGCTCTGTTGGCTACGGCTTTGGTCCCTAGGGGTGGGGTGTGAGAGGAGTGCCTCCCCTCTGCCTCCCGTTTCTGCCTCTGACCTTGGGTCTGTTTTTAACTTTCTCTGAGCCTTGTTTCCCCCTCTGTAAAATGGGTTAATAATATTCAACATGTCAACAACAGCTATTGTGAGGGTCATGAGATCCTGGCTGAAAAATGTTACTGTCATGGGTCTGGGAGTTGAAGACCCACTCTCGGGGTGGGTTGCAGTGTGCAGGGAAATGGGGATTCTGGGGACTGTTGTCAAAGAGGAAGCACCTGAGACTCTTGAGGCATGGCCCAGACTACCCCCTGGACCCCTGGGGACTCAAACTGGTAGCCTGACCTTCCTGTGACCTGAGGAGCTGGAGGGAGAAAAAGGAACCAGCCCTTCACGCCCCCAACTCTGCATGGTTGGTTATGGTCCAAGGGTTATGGCTCTAGGGTGGCTGGTCCCCATGGAACTCAGGCTGTTGGCTTGGGGAGGGGCAGCCACTGCCTATGGCTTGGAGTCTGTGCCCAAGGCCGGACAGAGCATTGATGGGGCAGGAAGGCAGGTGTGTGTAGGTAGCATGGGGGGGCACTCGAGCGCCATGGCTGAGGGTGCTGAAGGCAGGTGGGCAGACGGCTGGGGCAGAATCTCTTTTCTCAGGACAGTGTGTTCTCCTGATGTCCTGTGATTGGGCCAAGGTCTGCGGAGGGAAGCTCTCCCACAAGCTGGGCAGCTGCACCTGAGCTGGGGCGGGCATGGGCAGAACACCGGGTGGAGGAGTCAGTCTTGCCATCAGCAGCAAGGAGCGGGTGGAGATTTTTTTTTTTTTTGAGATGAGTCTCGCTCTGTCGCCCAGCCTGGAGTGCAATGGCACTATCTTGGCTCATTGCAACCTCCGCCTTTCAGGGTCAAACGATTCTCCTGCCTCAGTAGCTGGGATTACAGGCGCGTGTCACCACTCCCGGCTAATTTTTCGTAGAGACAGGGTTTCACCATGTTGGTCAGGCTGAGTCTCGAACTCCTGACCTCGTGATCCAACCGCCTCGGCCTCCCAAAATGCTGGGATTAAAGGCGTGAGCCACTGCGCCCGGCCAGGGGGGCGGAGATTTCAATATCACATTCCTCTTCCCTCCCGGTGCGCCTGAGAGGCAGCGCTTCAGGTCGAAGTCAGCCCTGGGATGCAGAGAGTTGCAGGGCTCAGGGTCCTGGGATGGTCCCGCAGACACTCCTAGCTCTTCGCCTGCCCCTTCTCATCTGTTTCTGTTGGGGGCGGGGAGGGCAGGCAGGACCAGGGCTACCTTTGAAACAGGTTGAGGGAGGGGGATCCTAACAGGACCCCGGTGCCTGTGTAGAGTGACAGGGTCGACAGCTCTGGGGCTCCACTCTCCCTTCCCTGAAGACCCCAGCTGCTTCAGTAGCTTCTGGCTTGCACCCAGCCCCAGCGCGAATGCCCCGAGTGCTCGCGGCTCGAGGTCCGCCCGCCCGTCCCGACCTGTTTCCTCCTCTACTCTCCTGCCAATGCCTGCCCATCTCTTGTTTCCCGGACGGCCAGAGCCACCATGCCGACCGGAGAGGCTCTCCTGACTCGGGTCCTTATGTCCCGGGGCCCGGGGGCTACCTGCGGCAAACCCCGGCGCTGTGGGACCACCGAGACGCCGGGACCTCCGCGAGGCCTAGAGTGGTCCCGGAAGTGCCCGCGGGCCGGGGGCGGGGCTCTTGGCGCTCGGGCGGCTGCGGGCACAGCGTCAGCAGCTGCCGCGGAGCAAGGCAGCGTCGGCCGCGTCGGCCGCGGGTTGGAGCAGCTCAGGTGCGGCCCCGCCCCGCCCGCCTGCGGCCCCGCCCCGGCTCAGGTGAGCTGCCCCTCCCCGGCCCAGGTGAGTGGCCCCGCGTCCGTCGATGTGACCCGAGTCCGCCTGACCACCTGTCCCTCCGGTGGCCCTGGGTGCGCGTGTCCCCAATAGCGGGGAAGCCTGTAGGGGCGCCACGTCGCCGCCTGGGCAGCGTGTGCGGGTCCGTGGCCACTCTTGGGCCCCCAGCCAGGAAACCTTGACTGCACTAAGGGTTTGCAGGGTGCCCAGGCCCTAGGGACTCTCTGGAGGATGGGATGACAGATGCAGAAGGACCCGGAGAAGGCCCCGACAGAGGTGGGAAGCATGGAGTTCCAGACCTTTGCATTTTCGGTCCAAAAACACTTAACATGTTGTGGGAGACAGATAAAGGGTTACCAACTTTTTATCCTGAGTGGAGACTTCAGCGTGTAGAGGCTACATAGTGGGAATGGAAAACCTCTACGGAGGGAAGTTTGAGAACACCAGGATTTAACAGGTGGGCGGAGGAAGAGTTGCAATCTAAAGATATCAAGAAAGAGAACTTGGAAGGCATGAAAATTGGGAAGAAAGCGTTCAGAAGCCAAGGGAAGAAAGCGAGGGTGGGGATGGGGTTGGGGGGGGGGGGTAGCTCAAAGCTTTCATGCACCCAGGTAGGCAATGTGGGCGGGTGAAGGGATATTGTCATATCTTCGTTTTTCAAGAGAAAGCCAGAAACCTACTGAGTTTTAAATATTGGCAACTAAGGAAAATGAACAGGAAAAGCCGAACTCTTCGAGAGCCAAACATAACGTAGCAGGATCTCCAGGCTGCCAATTTGCAACCTCTGAAATGAAGGGTTTTGAGAAGGAGGTATTGGAGAGCAGTGCCAGATGGGGTGGGAAGGTGAGGACTGAGAAGAGAGGGACTTGGCAATGAGGAGGTCATCGGATGCCAGAGCTGAGGTCCCAGCTGAAATCGGAAACTCGAAATTTGTCGTGGTGCCATACATAGTTGTATGATTTTTCTTGGCAACATTTAACAACTTAGGAGGAACTGGTAGAGAAGGCTGGGACTTAGGGGCTAGTTGCAGCCGGACGAGGAGGTGAGGAGCATGGTGCTGGAGCGTGAGAGTTAAGTGACGCGCATAGTATAGAGAGAGTCTAAGCTGGATGGAGAAGGGGTGGAACTGGCAAAGGAGAACTAGAGTAAAAGTGGCTTGGATTTCATGAGGTTGAAAAGCACAAATTGAGTGAGAGAGCTGGAAGGGTTGGAGATTGTGGGTTGCTGAAGAGGGGCGGAGGGGGAGAGGAGTTGAAATGATCTAAGAATTTTTGAAAATACTTTAGGTCTGGGCGAGGGGGCTCATGCCTGTAATACCAGCACTTTAGGAGGCCGAGATGGGTGGATCGCATGAGCTCAGGAATTCGAGACCAGCCTGCGCAACATGGCTAAAACCCGTCTCTACAAAAAGTACAAAAATTAGACAGGTGTGGCACGTGCCTGTAGTCCCAGCTACTTTTTTTCTTTTCTTTTCTTTTTTTATTTTTTATTTTTTTTTTAAGACAGAGTCTCGTACTGTCGCCCAGGCTGGAGTGCAGTGGCGCGATCTCGGCTCACTGCAAGCTCCGCCTCCTGGGTTCACGCCATTTTCCTGCCTCAGCCTCCTAAGTGGCTGGGACTACAGGTGCCCACCACCCAGCCCGGCTAATTTTTTTGTATTTTTAGTAGAGACGGGGTTCACTGTGTTAGCCAGGATAGTGTCCCAGCTACTTAGGAGGCTGAGATAGGAGAATCACTTGTGCCCGGGAGCCAGAGGTTCCAGTGAGCTGTAATCATACCCCTGCACTCTCCTGGAGAAAGAAAATACTTTAGTTCAGTCCTGTTTTAAAAATATATCCAGTCTTTCTATTGGCTGAAAAATCATTTAAAAAAATCATTTCTGGGCCAGGCGTGGTGGCTCACGCCTGTAATCCCAGCACTTTGGGATGCCAAGGCGGGTGGATCACCTGAGGTCAGGAGTTTGAGACCAGCCTGGCCAACATGGTGAAACCCCGTCTCTACTAAAAATACACAAATTATCTGGGCCTGGTGGCGAGTGCCTGTAATCCCAGCTATTCAGGAGGCTGAGGCAGGAGAATTGCTTGAACTCAGGAGGCGGAGGTTGCAGTGCACCGAGATTGCGCCGTTGCACTCCAGGCTGGGCAACAAGAGTGAGACTCCATCTCAAAAAAAAAAAAAAAATCATTTCTGCTGAGCATGGTGGCTCATGCCTGAAATCCAGCACTTTGGGAGGCGGAGGTGGGAGGATTGCTTGAGCCCAGGAGTTCAAGACTAGCCTGGGCAACATAATATTATCTCATCTCTACAGAAAAATTAAAAAATTAGCTGGGTGTGGTGACATGCCCCTGTAGTCCCAGCTACTTGAGAGGCTGAGGTGGGAGGATCAGTTGAGCCTGGGAGGTCAAGGCTGCAGTGAGCGGTGATTCCACTCCTGCACTCTAGCCTGGGTGACAGAGTGAGACCCTGTCTCAACAACAAAAAAATTTTTTTTCAAGTAGAAATGAGTTCTGACTATTCTGGTTAATTTAGTATATATATTTTTTAAGGCAGTTACTCCCTAGATTCAGTATAACGATAATAGTACCTTTGTATAGAGTTGTGAAGATTAAATGAGGTGCCATGAAGGACCTATTAATGCCTAGCACATAGTAGGTGCTCAGTGAATATGAGCTGTTGCTATCGTTATTGTGTCACCTGAAGACTTTGCCTTTATCTAGCACAGAATTTTCTGAATAGAGCTCTTTGGGGCTTCTTCAGGGGCCACAGCTGGGAGGGGGAGTGCTGAGTGGGCTGTTCTAGCTTCCTTCATTGTTCCTGCTAAGGTGCCCTCCTTCAACTGGAGCAGCTCTGCTTTTGTCTGTTTTATTTATTTATATCTCCTAGACCAGCGATCCCCAACGTTTTTGGCATCAGGGACCAGTTTTGCGGAAGACAATTTTTCCCTGAATGGGTGGGGGACATGCGGGATGGTTTTGAGATGAAACTTCCACCTCAGATCATCAGGTGTTAGATTCTCACAAGGAGTGCACAACCTAGATCCCTCATATGCACAGTTCACAATAGGGTACAAGTTCCTATGAGAATCTTATGCCGCTGCTGATCTGATAGGAGGCAGAGCTCAGGCTGTAATGCTCACTCACCTTCCACTCACCTTCTGCTATGCGGCCCGGTTCCTAACAGGCCACAGACCGGTGCCTGTCCCCCACCCTGGGAGTTGGGGACACCTGTTCTAGACAGTTGACTTATTTGACTAAAGTGTTCTTTGACCAAAAAAAGTGACAGTTCTAGCACAAAAACAAATGGCTTTTCCTCCATTTGGTCACTTATTCAACAACTGTGTTCATTGGAATTGTGCTTTTGTGCTGGGGACTGGAGCTTCTGAAATGAAGGAGCGCAGTATTTGCCCTTAGGGAATTTTCAAGCTAATGGTGGGGGCCTGAGATGGTGAACAACCTGAGGGTGCAAAGAAAAGGGGACATTTGGACAAGTCCTGAAGGATGAGCAAGTGGCAGTCTGAGAATGGTCCTTACCTGTTAGGACCAGACAACAGGAGTGCAAATTAGTCATCGAGCTGGAAAATTGGAAGTGTTGGAGGGACCAGCCTGGGCAATACAGTGCGACCTCATCTCTACAAAAAGCAATAATTTAAAAAATTAGCAGAGTGTGGTGGCATACACCTGTAGTCCCAGCTATTCAGGAGGCTGAGGTGGGAGGATCACTTGAGCCTGGGAGGCAGAGGTTTCAGTGAGCCAAGATCACACCACTATACTCCAGCCTGGGCAATAGGGCAAGAGCCTATCTCAAATAAAAAAGAAGAAGTGTATGGGAGAGACAGGCAGGAGGTGGATTGGAAGGGCCAGGTGTGAAGGAGTTGGGCTGTCACAAGATCCTAAGAAGAGAACCACCAGGCCAGGCACGGTGGCTCACGCCTATAATCCCAGTACTTTGGGAGGCCGAGGCAGGCAGATCACTTGAGGTCAGGAGTTTGAGACCAGCCTGACTAACATGGTGAACCCCAGTCTCTACTAAAAATACAAAAATTAGCCAGCATGGTGGTGGGCACCTGTAATCCCAGCTACTCGGGAGGCCAAGGCAGGAGAATCACTTGAAATTGGAAGGCAGAGGTTGCAGTGAGCCAAGATCGCGCCACTGTACTCCAGCCTGGGCGAAAGAGTAAAACTCCATCTCAAAAAAAAAGAAAAGAAGGGGACCACCATAATCCATAATCAGGCTTACATTTTAGATATTTGACTCTATTCTTAGTGTAGGGCGTGCACCAGAGGGAGAGGTGGAAACCGGAGGTCAGCAGCTAGTTTGGAGGTGAGCACTAAAAAGATCCCAGGAGGTAGCACTGAAGCCTGAGCTGCAGAGTGGCAGTGAGGACTGAGAGACAGAGACGCTGCCCATGCAGCCTCAGGAAGTAGATAGGAGGGGACCAGTTGGGTGAGAATAACAGCAGCTATGCTGGCTCCCAGGCTGGGGCACTTGGCTGGAGGGAGTGCGGCTGAACTAGGGTAAGGGAAGAGCTCTCTTTCTCTTTCCCAGTAAAACCTGCCCCCAATGTCACCCAGTAGCTGGAGTCTTGCTCCTTATCTGCAGTGGCCCCACTTCCTGGTTGTTGTTGTTGTTTGAGACAGAGTCTCGCTTTGTCACCCATGTTGGAGTGCAGTGGGGTGATCTCTGCTCACTACAGTCTCTGCCTCCCAGGTTCAAGTGAGTCTCCTGCCTCACCCTCCCTAGTAGCTGGGATTACAGGCATCCACCACCACACCCGGCTAATTGTTTTGTGTTTTTAGCAGAGACGAGGGTTTCACCATGTGTCCAGGCTGGTCACTCCTAACCTCTAGTGATCTGCCAGCCACGGCCTCCCAAAGTGCTAGGATTATAGGTGTGAGCCACTGTGCCCAGCCCCCACTTCCTGTTTTAGCTCACCTTTCTGAACACCTTCAGCCCGTAGAGTCTATACACCATGATGTGGCACTTGATTGTGTCTATCTGTCTGCCTTCAATTGTCTGTGGTAAGCAAAACCTGCCTCTAACTCATTTGGGATCATCTTCAGGGCAAGATTGTGTCTTATGCATATTTGGTTATTTCTAGATTCTAGGACAGGAAGCAGGCATTTAGGACATGAGCTGCTTGACTCGCTGACTTGACAGCGTTCCTGTTTTCTTTTCAGATTGTCAGAACAGTAAGTGTGGCCCAAAGAAGAACATTTTTAAAGAATTACAACCATTGGGGATGATAGCAGATTCACAATGGAGGTTCCCCCAGCAACCAAGTTTGGCGAGACCTTTGCATTTGAGAACAGGTTAGAGTCACAACGAGGACTTTTCCCAGGGGAGGACCTGGGGGACCCTTTTCTTCGGGAAAGAGGTTTGGAGCAAATGGCTGTGATCTACAAGGAGATCCCTCTTGGTGAGCAAGACGAAGAACATGATGATTACGAGGGGAATTTCAGTTTGTGCTCAAGCCCTGTTCAGCATCAAAATATCCCCCCAGGAACCAGACCCCAGGTTGATGAGCTCTTCGGACAAACCTTCCTCCAGAAATCCGACCTCAGCGTGTGTCAGATAATCCACAGTGAAGAACCCAGTCCATGCGATTGTGCAGAAACAGACAGAGGGGACTCAGGACCTAACATGCTTCACAGAACCCCACAACCAGCCAAGCCCTACGCGTGTCGAGAGTGTGGGAAGGCCTTCAGCCAGAGCTCACACCTGCTCCGACACCTGGTGATCCACACCGGGGAGAAGCCCTATGAGTGCTGTGAGTGCGGGAAGGCCTTCAGCCAGAGCTCCCACCTGCTCAGGCACCAGATCATCCACACCGGGGAGAAGCCCTATGAGTGCCGGGAGTGTGGGAAGGCCTTCCGCCAGAGCTCAGCCCTCACGCAGCACCAAAAGATCCACACGGGAAAGAGGCCCTACGAATGCAGGGAATGTGGGAAGGATTTCAGCCGGAGCTCCAGCCTCAGGAAACACGAACGGATTCATACAGGAGAGAGACCTTATCAGTGTAAGGAATGTGGGAAATCCTTCAACCAGAGCTCAGGCCTGAGCCAGCATCGAAAGATCCACACCCTAAAGAAGCCTCACGAGTGCGATCTCTGTGGGAAAGCCTTTTGTCACAGGTCACACCTCATCCGACACCAGCGGATCCACACTGGGAAGAAACCATACAAATGCGATGAGTGTGGGAAGGCCTTCAGCCAGAGCTCCAACCTCATTGAGCACCGCAAGACCCACACCGGCGAGAAGCCCTACAAATGCCAGAAGTGCGGGAAGGCCTTCAGCCAGAGCTCCTCCCTTATCGAGCACCAGCGCATCCACACCGGTGAGAAGCCCTACGAGTGCTGTCAGTGTGGCAAGGCCTTTTGCCACAGCTCTGCGCTGATCCAGCACCAGAGGATCCACACTGGCAAGAAGCCCTACACCTGCGAGTGTGGCAAAGCCTTCCGGCACCGGTCCGCCCTCATCGAGCACTATAAAACCCACACCAGAGAGAAGCCCTATGTGTGCAATCTGTGCGGCAAGTCCTTCCGGGGGAGCTCACACCTGATTCGCCATCAGAAGATTCATTCTGGGGAGAAGCTATAGAAAGAGGAGCCCACACAAAGCTTGAAAGCCTGTGCTAGATGGAGCCCTTATTCCACATCGCATGGTCTCCAAGACCCCACCTACCTCCCTGATGCTGAATGGAAACCCTCCAACCTAAGCGCTCTTGAACATCCCACTAGCAGGAAGGCCCCACGTGGCCCCCGGCCAAGCACGCCAGCTCTCAGCAGGTTTTCTGCGTGGAAGGGAAGGCGGGGCGATAGGGAGGGCAGCTGGAAAAGAGAGCTGGCCTTCAGTTTCTCCTTGCATTTGACTCCCAAGCCTACAGGATTTCATTTTACCCTGTCTTCGCTTTTCCCAGAATCCAGAAGAAGGATAAATGCCAAGAGGGAGAAAGTTGAGTTAAACCCAGGAAAATATCAAATGAACTCTTTAAATCAGGCTGCAGTCTGGCACTTTTAGAAGACAGAAACCACACTCACAGTCCAAATCAGTGGAAGAAAAATGAATTCAAAAGTAGAAGTGTCAGCAGCAAAGTGTAATTTTCTCACTGGGTTGGGCATTGGTGGGGACAACCAAAACAGGTCTGCAGAACAAAGGCAGGTCTGGAGGGTGGGTCTTGGGATGGGGGGTACGGGTGGTGAGCCCCTGGGCATGGTCTCTTAACCCTCTCCTTAGCCCTAGGGCAGTTTCCCTCAGACAGCTCTATTATAGGAGGATAGAGATTTGATCATGTTGGCCGGAGGATGTTTGACACCTGGCTGTGACTCAGCCTGGGCACTGGACGTGACTGCCCTCCAGGAATAACCCCTCCCTGAGACAGTGTCCCCAAGACCACAGTGTGCCTTGGACATTAGCAGGGCCTGGGTCTGGTCTGGTCTGACAATGACGCAGCCCTCCTGCCCCAGTGTCAGGGGACCTGGGAAGCTGGGTGGCTTGTTGGAGGAGGCCGTGTTCTAATCAGAAGGTCTAGGTTCAAGTCCTAGTTCCACCCCCTCCTACCTGCGTGAACTTGAACAAGTTGTGTAACCTCCCTGGGCTCCATTTCCCCATCCAAGAGTTGGGGTAATGGGAACTGGCCACGTGCCTCTAAGGGTTGGTGCCAGGCTGCCATTCAGAATGCAGCCATGGTGAAAGTGCTTTGGCAACTGTGAGCAGTCATGGTGACTGAGGACAGATTCCCAGAGTGACCCCTGCCCCACCCCAGTGCATTTCCGCAGACTGGAGAGATGTTCCCATCTGGTTTGTGAGCGGTGGGACCTCTTATTGAAGAGAGCTTTCCCTTCCTCCGCCCCTTGCAGCCTGGGCTGTGTATGCCTGCGGATGCACTGTCCCACACAAGGACACTTCCTCTTGGACGCCATCCTGAGCCTCCTGTAGCAGCAGTGTCATTCCGCACTTCCATATTCTGTCTTCCCCGCCTGCCAACTAGGAGTTCATGTGGGGCTTGTTTAAACAGTACCATTGCCTGTGTCCCACCCGGCCCAGTTCAGTCAGCCCCAGTGGCGGCAGGTTTTAAAGCTCCCCAGGTGATTATAACTTCCTAGTGTGCAGCCAGGCTGTGGGCCCTGTGCTGGGCTTTTTTTTTTTTTTTTTTTTTTTTGAGATGGAGTTTTGCTCTGTCTCCAGGTTGGAGTGCAGTGGCGTGATCTCTGCTCACTGCAATCTCCAACTCCTGGGTTCAAGCGATTCCCCTGCCTCAGCCTCCTGAGTAGCTGGGACTACAGGCGCGTGCCACCATGCCTGGGTAATTTTTTGTATTTTTAGAACAGACGGGGTTTCGCCATGTTGGCCAGGATGGACTTGATCTCCTGACCTCATGATCTGCCTGCCTGGGCCTCCCAAAGTGCTGGGATTACAGGCATGAGCCCCCGCGCCCGGCCCGTGCTGGCCTTTTATGCATCGCTTGACAGCTTCCAATGTCAGCCTGCTGGCTTTGGCTGAGCAGAGCTTGAAGGCCATTCTGTCTCAGTGCTCCCACTCCCTGCTCCCTGTACCAGGAGCCTCAGGGATGGGCTCAGGCAGTGATGGTCAGTTGACCGCTTGGAAAGTGTTTCCCTGGAGCCTCGAGGATCTCTTTAGTCCTGACTTCCCTCGGGCTCCTCAGAGGTAGTGGGGAAGGAGGCAGTCTAGGCTGTTTTGAAGTTTCCTAAACATTTATGGCTGGGCTAACATAACTTCGTCATGGTAACACTGGCTATTTCAGCTGATCAGAAGCTCAGCATGGCCATTATGCCTAGTTTTGATGAATAAACATGGGAAAGCCATAATTAAGTTGGGCTTGATAGGCCAGAGATTTCCAAATGACAGATATGATAGGCTGGAGAGGTCATGGTGGGAGTTCTGGTCATGCCTCTGTCCAGCCCCTGTCTTTGCTACGTATGTGAAACATTTAACATTTAACTAGCACTCCATTGTCCACCAGAACCCTCTGTGTGACCAGTTGGACCAACTGGGTGGTGCCCTGGGCACTGCCTGCAAGTGGCCTCATTTCAGGTGTGTCTCTATCAAGAGTGAAGAGAGAATGCTAGGATGCAGTTGGGACAGCAGGCGACATCAAGCAGGGGCCCCTGAAAGATCTACCTCCTCTTTACCCCTGCTCCTCTCCCCCACCGTTATCATCTGGCAAATGTCTGTTACCTACCTTTGGTCTCTCCCTCCCCATCCTTCCTGCACACCCCAGCCAAACTGATTTTTAAAGCATCACTTTGCACAAGTCACCACTCTCCTTAAAACTAACTTTCAGGAGCTTTTCGGCACATAAAGCCTCGTTTCGGCCAACCTGCTTTACCCACTCTGAGCAAGCCACATGGAGTTCAGGCTGCCCCTGCTCACCTCAGCATCACTCCCAGCTCATAATTCTGTGCTGTTCTTGCATTTCGAAATATGCACTTTCTCCTCCTCTCCCTCCCTCTCTGTTTCTAATTTTTGTGTAACATGGAGATGAAGATCCCCTCTCCCCCAGGGGTTAACAGATAAACATGATAAGACCAGGTACTTTTCTTTTTTGGAAGTATGACCAGAGCCCCAGAGCCTCATTCCCTCTGTTCAAATTCTTTCCTTGTTTTTTTTTTTTGTTTTTGTTTTTTTTTGAGACGGAGTCTCGCTCTGTCGCCCAGGCTGGAGTGCTGTGGCCGGATCTCAGCTCACTGCAAGCTCCGCCTCCCTGGTTCCCGCCATTCTCCTGCCTCAGCCTCCCGAGTAGCTGGGACTACAGGCGCCCGCCACCTCGCCCGGCTAGTTTTTTGTATTTTTTAGTGGAGACGGGGTTTCACCGTGTTAGCCAGGATGGTCTCGATCTCCTGACCTCGTGATCCGCCCGTCTCGGCCTCCCAAAGTGCTGGGATTACAGGCTTGAGCCACCGCGCCCGGCCCAAATTCTTTCCTTGTTTTATAGGTCGTTTTTTTTTTTTTTTAGACAGAGTCTCACTGTCGCCTAGGCTGGAATGCAGTGGTGCTGTCTTGGCTCACTGCAACATCTGCCTCCTGGGTTCAAGTGATTCTCCTGCCTCAGCTTCCTGAGTAGCTGGGATTACAGGCATGCACCACCACGCCTGGCTAACTTTTGTGTTTTTAGTAGAGATGGGGTTTCACCATGTTAGTCAGGCTGGTCTCAAACTCCTGACCTCCTGATCTGCCTGCCTTGGCCTCCTAAAGTGTTGGGATTACAGGCGTGAGCCATGGCGCGTGGCCGGCTTATTAGATATTTATTTAAAACCCTCTCATTCTATTTAGATTCTCAAACAGTGTAAAGTTATAAAAGATCATCCCTGGCAATATTTTAATCAGTTGTCTTTTAATTTAGTTGTTCTTTGTTTTTGTTTTTGTTGTCCTTTTTTTTTCTTTTTATGGCAGTGGTTTACTTAGATGTTGTTGAGTAGTACAAAACTCCAACTCTTGCTTTTATTTACTACTCTCTTTGTTTTGTCAGCGTATATGTGTTCTCTCTCCTTTTTGTTTGTTTTTTTACTTTATAATTCTAAGATTACTTGGATATAATTAATCATATTTTAAATATTTGTAGTAAATGTAGGTACTTTGGTCTATGATTTTTGTTTTGTTTTGTTTTTAGAGGGAGTCTCGCTCTGTTGCCCAGGCTGGAGTGCAGTGGCATGATCTCAGCTCACTGCAAGCTCTGACTCCCGGGTTCATGCCATTCTCCTGCCTCAGCCTCCAGAGTAGCTGGTACTACAGGCGCCCACCACCATGCCCGGCTAATTTTTTTTTTTTTTTTAAACAACAAAAATTTATTCTCTCAGCAGTTTGGCCCCAGTGCCTATGCACTTCAGCATTACACCATGCACACTGCCTTAAAAGACACCCTGTGTCCTCATAAGACACACAGAGAAGAGAGACACAGAGAAGCGGAGCATTTGCAAACAGAGCCGGCTAATTTTTTGTAGTAGAGACGGGGTTTCACCGTGTTAGCCAGGATGGTCTCGCTTTCCTGACCTTGTGATCTCCCCACCTTGGCCTCCCAAAGTGCTGGGATTACAGGCGTGAGCCACCACCCCCGGCCATTTTTTTTTTTCCTTCTTCTTAGACAGCTTTGTCTGCACTCCGTTAAGTTTTGATATGTGGTGTTTTTTGTTATAGTATTAAGAATTTCCTTTTGGCCAAGTGTTATTATTTAAAAATATTTCTAAGTGGGCCGGGCGTGGTGACTCACACCTGTAATCCCAGAGGCTGTAACTTGAGGAATGGGCTCAGAGCAGATTCTGGCACCGAACCCAACTGTGACAAGAAAAGAGACAAGTGGGCCCAATGACAGACCTATAGTCTATCCAGAAATGACACTCCACATATGGTTAATAACTCGTAGAGATGGGAAAAATACAAAAAATTAGCTGGGCATGGTGGTGTGCGCCTGTAATCCCACTTTGGGAGGCTGAGGTGGGTGGATCACGAGGTCAGGAGTTTGAGACCAGCCTGGCCAACATGGTGAAACCCTATCTCTACTAAAAATACAAAAATTAGCTGGGCACAGTGGCAGGCACCTGTAATCCCAGCTACTGGGGAGGCTGAGGCAGGAGAATTGCTTGAACCTGGGAGGCAGAGGTTGCAGTGAGCCAAGATTGTGCTACTGCCCTCCAGCCCGGGTGACAGAGCAAGACTCCATCTCTGGGAAAACAACAACAACAAAAACAAAAAATAGCCAGGCGCGGTGGCTCACGCCTGTAATCCCAGCACTTTGGGAGGCTGAGGCGGGTGGATCACGAGGTCAGGAGATCAAACCATCCTGGCTAACATGGTGAAACCCCGTCTCTACTAAAAATGCAAAAAATTAGCTGGGCGTGGTGGCGGGCAACTGTAATCCCAGCTACTCTGGAGGCTGAGGCAGGAAAATGGTGTGAATCCCGGAGGCAGAGCTTGCAGTGAGCCGAGATCACGCCACTGCACTCCAGCCTGGGCGAAAGAGTGAGACTCTGTCTCAAAAAATATATATATATTTCTAAGTGATGAATGCTTAGGGTATTGCTGCTTATCTCTTATTGTATGTGGTGTCAACATTTCTAAGTGTCCATAGACTTCTTTGGGCCTGGATATATTATCAATTTTTATAAAAGCATTTGTGTAATCTCAAAATGTGTTTCTGTTCTACCACTTCTATTTGTTAACTCCATTTTTTCATTGTTTTGTTCAAATCCATACTTTTCTCTGACTTTCATTTGCTTTAGAGTTCTTCACCTGGGGTCCATGGCCTACTTAGGAGTCTTTAGCATGTAGGGGTTTATTGGTTGTAGACCCCTAGGAATTGAACAAAGCTGGATATGTGCATGAAGGAATTTTGCTGAAACAAAGATCTGTAGTATTTACTATATTTTTAAATGCCTCTGTGACACCAAAATAGTTCAGAACACTCATTTACCTGATCTAATCATAGTTTGATTTTTGTGTGTTATATCTTTATGTATTCCTGTTTCACTTTTAATTTCTGTATGTGTATTGTCACTATGTTGTGCTGTTTTTCTCAAGTCATTTTTGAGAAATAGGCAGGGTATAAATTATCAATAAATAAGTATCATGTTTGGGGCATATATATTTAATAGTGATATATTGAAAAACTCGGCCGGGCACAGTGGCTCACGCCTGTAATCCTAGCACTTTGGGAGGCCGAGGTGGGCGGATCACTTGAGGTCAGGAGTTCTAAATGAGCTTGGCCATAATGGTAAAACCCCATCTCTAGTAAAAATACAAAAAATTAGCCGGGCATGGTGGTATGTGCCTGTAATCCCAGCTACTTGGGAGGCTGGGGTAGGAGAATCACTTGAACCCGGGAGGCAGAAGTTGCAGTGAGCCGAGATTGTGCTACCGCTCTCCAGCCTGGGTGACAGAGCAAGACTCTGTCTCAAAAAAAAAAAACAAAAAAACAAAAAAACAAGAAAAACGATGCCTTTTAGTACCCTCTTTGCCTCTTTTAATATTTCTAGCTTAAACTTGTCTTTTCCAAATATTATAATTGAAGCCCTTTGCTTTTCTTGAATTTGCATGGTAGAGTTTAGCTCAGCATTTTATTTTCTAAATTTGTGTATATATTTTGCTATACCTCTGTACATAAATAACAAATCGTTAGAGTTTGTTTTCTGGTTCTTTCTATAATTTCTTTTTATACAAGAAATTCTATCATTAATACTATTGAGCAAGGCATAATTTATTTTCATCTTAATATTTTAATATATATTAACTAATTTAACCTCAAAAGGCCATGCTCACCCCTCACTCCCATCTCTAGGAGTTATTAACCATATGTGGAGTGTCATTTCTGGATAGACTATAGGTCTGCCATTGGGCCCACCTATCTCTGTTCTTATCACATTTGGGTTTGGTGCCAGGATCTGCCCTGAGCCCATTCGTCAAGTTACAGCCTCTGACTTCAGGGTCCTCAGCTGTAATGGGGGAATGATGCCACTCACAGCCTTGGAGGGCTCAGAGGTATAAGGAATGCAAACATGCTTAGCAAACTATGAGGTGCAGTTGATTATTACACTATTAGTATTTTGAAGTATTTTTTTCTTTTCCCTTTTTTTTTTTTGAGATGAAGTCTCACTCTGTAGCCCAGGCTGGAGTGCAGTGGTGCGATCTCAGCTCACTGCAACCAGGATCAAGCGACTCTCCTGCCTCTGCCTCCCGAGTACCTGAGATTACAGGTGCACGCCATTGCACCTGGCTAATTTTTTTGGGGGGACGGAGTCTCACTCTGTTGCCAGGCTAGAGTGCAGTGGCGTGATCTTGGCTCTCTGCAACCTCCACCTCCCAGGTTCAAGCG